AAAGTTGCGGACAAGTTGCTGCGGACACACACACACACACACAAACACACATACAGACAACCCCGTGACAATATGGGTTTTGTAACGCTGTTACACAGCACAGAACGCATAAAAAAATAAGCAGACATGAACTAGTCCCTAAACTATTTTTCGGGATGAAATTTGGTATGCAACTGAACGAAAGACCTAAGACTAGCCGCACTAAACATGCGAGACTACACCAGAATAACACTGAACATTCACAATTCGACGATTCTGGTAATAAACGGATTTCCTACTGTCCCACTATCAGTTTGTCGTTCCTTCTGCTTCTTTCTTTCGTCTTCCTCTTTTGTATTCCCTCTCCATTAAGCACTACCACCGTTATACTGATGAGGTCCTGTCGCAGTGTTGGGTTAAGGCGTATATGATTTAATGGACCGGAACGTCTTATTTCACTCTTATCTCCTTCTCTCATATCTTATCCATCGTACCTCCACCATTTAGACTTCCTGGGTTAACCTGGTTGCTGCAGTCTGCTTAGTCCCTTGAACGAAACGAAACTCACTGAAACAGAGAGCGAAGTTCCGGATGTTCCACCAGATCCAACTGTTGTCGGAGTTGTCCCCGTTAATACGGTACGCATAATTGGTTGCTGAGTTTGCTGCTGTTGTTGCTGTTGCTGCGACTGCTGCTGCTGCTGTTGTGGCTGTTGAGTCTACAAAACACATCAGAATGATACACAAATAACAAAATCAATACAACTACACACATATAAATAGTAGGGTAGGAGGATTGAACTTAGGTGTCATGTACAAAAAGACATTTTACGATGCAGTCTCCGTGTTTCATCCCTTAGCTGTAAAAACAGACCGGACTATGCATGCTGGTAGGAATGGGAATCACTAAATTTATAAAAAAGTTTGAAAATGAGTAAGTAGGAAGTACGAAAAAAATAAAAACTGAATAAGAATTAGCGATCGCACAAAAAAAATTACAAGCTGAAATTCAGACAAAATTCCGATCCATTAAGTTGCAAACGTCCCAACTCAGTACCTCATCAGTGAAACCTCATCAATACAGCAATTTTGGAGTGAAATATTTATACTGTAATGCACAGATGTGAGCAACCA